AGCAGCCACTGCACTCCAGTCTGGGCGACAGAGTGAGACTCCAACTCAAAAACAACAACAACAAAAAACACTATGCAAACTCCTTTACGACAAGAAGACAGGTTAAATTTGAAAGCAGACTATGCTGTTTCTGGAAATAAAATCCCACATATCTAATTAGAAAAAGGCATATTACTAGCTAACTTTTAAAATGTCACATTTTAAAAGTATCCTAATGATAACAACAATAGCAAAAAATGTCTCTAGCCCTTAGATCCTCTTAGAAAATACCCTTGCATATCTACTAGCACCTCTATTCATCCTCCCACTTACTTGATGTGGCCTGATCCTGCTGTAGTAAGCTGCTCTTCATCATCAGGATTGAAAGTAATCTTAAAAACTTCCTGAGAAAAAGCTTTTGTCCTCAACATGGGTTGCTCTTCTTTCCAATTCCAGATAGTCAGTGTGTAATCAGGGTTGCTACCAACAGAGGCCAGCAAGGTACCACTGTAGTTAAAGTCCACATAAGCATATCCCTTCTCAGTCCCATCTGGAAGGATGAACAGGAGTCTGATAAATAAGGGAACATTTATTTCACTTTTAAAAACATATTATAAAAAAAAATAATAGAGAGGGAATCAGCCCTTGGTGATATAAAAATGTTAGGAATCCCCTAAAGGAACAATTCCAAAATCATTCACTATCCTTGACTTTAGAATGAATTACATGATATGAAGGGAGGAGGAGGGTGAAGAAGTCTTAATCACATATTGCATGAGAAAAACATTTTGAGAACATATTCCATTTTATGAAGTGGGAGAGAAACACAAAAAGCATATTTGATAGCAGAGAGAAGTCAATCAACAATTTAAAATTTGCAATTAGAGCCGGGCTCGGTGGCTCAGCCTGTAATCCCGCGCCTTTAGGAGGCTGAGGTGAGTGGATTGCCTGAGCCCACGGGTTCGAGACTCGCCTGGGCAGCGAGACCTCATCTCTACAGTAAATCAAAAAATCAGCCAGGCGTGGTAGCGCATGCCTGTAATTCCGGCTACTTGGAAGGCTGAGGCGGAAGGATCGCCGGAGCCCAGCAGGTCGAGGCTGCGGTGGCTGGGTGCGGCCACTGCACTCCAGTCTGGGCGACAGAGTGAGACTCCAACTCAAAAAAAAAAAAAAAAAAAATTTGCAATTAGAAATTTTCAAAAATAAAAATTGACTACCGAACTTAATTACATGAAAAACAGAACTGTAAGATAACTGTGATCAGACTAGTTTTATGTGTCAACTTGGCAACAGTACTCAGTTACTCAATTAAATATTAATCTAGATGCTGCAGTAAAGGTATTTTGTGAATGTGGTAAACATCTACAATCTCCTTTAAATAAAGGAGATTATCCTTGATGACTATGTGGGCCTTATCCAATCAGTTGAAAGGTCTTAAAAGTAAAACTGAAGTTCCCCTGAGGAAGAAGAAATTCTGCCTGAGGACTAATAGCAACAACACCATCCTAAAAATTTCCAGACTGCTGATCTACCCTACAAATTGAGACTAGCCAACCCCCACAATTATATCTGCCAGTTCACTGAATAAATCAGTTTATCTTCTACTAGGTCTGTTTTTCTGGAGAACCCTAACTGATTCGCGAATGTCATACCTTCTTCAGAATGCTGTAAACATTGAACATGGAATATCTTAAAGGTTCTTTTGGACTCACCTCGAAGGATTCTGTAAGGCCTTAGAGAAGGGTATTCATAGATGATAATATTTGGAAAACTTCCTTTTTCAGCTATTGTGAAGTAAGTTTTATATGGATGAACCTAAAAAAGTAAAATCTCACAAGTAAGATTTTTTAAAACATAAATAGTCCTTTTAATGCTCCATTCCAATAGAAAACTCAAAAATGGGCATCTGATGAATACTTGATGATGAAGATGATTTAAACTGAAAACTAGAATACTCAGTTTAAGTTTTAAGACTGTCATTTCTAACTCTACAGTTTTTTAAAAATGCCATTGGAAGAGCTAGAACAGTGGTTCTCAATCCTCAGTGTGTATGAGAATCCACTGAAGAACTTACGAAAACACAGTGTGCAAGCCCTGCCCCCAGCATCTCTGATTTAGTAGGCCAGGCTGGGACTTTTGTTTTTGCATTTACATTTCTTTTTTTTTTTTTTTTTTTGAGTTGGAGTCTCACTCTGTTGCTCAGACTGGAGTGCGGTGGCCGCTCCCAGCCACCGCAGGCTCGACCTGCTGGGCTCCGGTGATCCTTCCGCCTCAAGCCTTCCAAGTATCTGGAACTACAGGCAGGCACTACCACGCCCAGCTAATTTTTTATTTATTGTAGAGATGAGGTCTCGCCAAGTTGCCCAGGCGGATCTCGAACCCGTGGATTCAGGCAATCCACTCATCTCAGCCTCCCAAAGGCGTGGGATTACAGGCTGTGCCACCTAGCCCGGCTTGCATTTACATTTCTAACAAGATGTGAGGTGATGTTGATGCTGTTGGTCTGGGGACTGGTTTTTTTTTTTTTTAAAACTACTAAGTGAGGTGAATTGTTTACCCTGCATGTAAGTCAACCTAAGTTTTGTATAGCAAAACTCATAGAATGTATGGAGTTCATGCTTCCAGACTAGATTACATCCCAATTTTTAAAATTTTACCATGGGCAAACTTATTGCAAATGAATGTAAACTTACTAGAAGTGAAAAAGATATAATATTTCCAAGTCAGACATGAGGATAATATAGTAAATATACCCTGGATATTAGCACTTCAAACAACAGTCATATAAGTTGGCTAGAATACTATGTCCATTTCTACTAGAATGGTCAGCCAAAAAATGAAAATAAATATAGAATAAGCAACTATAAGAATAAGCAATTTAAAACACATACTATAATTATAAAATTCTGTTTTTAGACAGTGTTTCACAAGTCCTGATTATATACCTAAAGATAAGGAGCATGGTTCTCAATATAGACTGCAAATCCTGGTACTCAAAATAATGTTAGAGCCCATTTTCTTCCCTCCACCCTTAGGGCCATAAGACCTCTGACAGATTGATTTCCTACTGGGAAGTTGTTTCTTATCCTTCCATTCTAGTAAACCCCCATCATGTCCACTTGAAACAGGCATGGGTTTACAGGATGGACACTCAGTAAGAGAATGGTTACTCTGAGAACAGCTAACATTTATTGAGTGCCTATCATATGCCAGACGCCAATCTAAGTTTTTAGGCATTAATTCCTTTAAATTTCACATCAATCTTGTGGGCTTGGTTAACATTATTACTATCATCTTATTGATGAGTAAACTAAGGCACAGAGTTTAAGTAATTTGCTGGCATTCATATAGTCTGAGGTGTGGTAAATGTGAGAGACAGGAGTCAATCCAGGCACTGGAGCCAAGAAGCAAACGGGACTAAAAAATTGTAGATCTCAAGGAGATGGGGGAAATGGATTAAGACTGTGTCTGTCTAGATCCGCATTTACAAAGAAAAATGGTGTAGGATATGGGCCACAGAAATCTGAATGAAGATTCAGGCAAATCCTTTATCCTTCTAGGTCTTGACTACAATAAGTAAAAAAAAGCTTCTACCCTTTCACATTGGCAGTTGCTGTGGGGTTGAGTCCGGGTGTTTATTTTTAGTGGAGATCTGGAATTAGTAAGACATTTACTTTACACTCAACATGGAGATTCACCCTTTCTTTTTCAGAAGATAATTTAGTTTATAAGCCCCAAACACATTTCCCACAGGTTTCTCATAGCCTTGCAAACCTATTTTTAATTCTCAACTGGATAAGTATTTCAGAGAAGATGAGGTGGCATGGACAGTGGAGGAGGAGCAGCCTCTGTCACGTCCAAGCTTCAGCAACTCCAACATACATAGAGCAAAATGGTTTATGGATGAAAAAGTGCTCAAAATCCAGGTGGAGGAAGGTTAGGATCAGCCTTCTTGACCACACTATACCTCTGACTACTGTCCTCAAACCAATGAAATAGAAAAATAGAAATGTAAAAACCATTACTGGCCACAAAGTGACAAGTAAATATGTGACAATTAGATGTTTCTGAGTTCGCAGGACTAACTTCTCTGTGTGAACCTCAGGGCTCCTGATACGTCATGCCACTGGCTTGACTTCCTTTCACAAAATCCATGATCTATTAGGCCAATGAATGTTTTCACACAGCTATTGCCACATTATTGTGTACTTGTGTGTGTAGATTTTTGTTTTTATTTTTTTAAATAGAGATCTTGTCTCTTTAGGTGGATTTTAAACTCTTTGAATTCATAGAGGTCATTAATTTTTCTTCATTTAGATCCCCTACTGTATGTTATACGTAGTGTTGGATTTTTAAAATTATTTTATTGTATAACTTACTATTATATAATAAATTATCACTGGACTTATTAGTCAGTCTTACAGCAAACTCCCTGAGGACATGGACTTTTATCATGTACACATACTATATATCAATAGTTGATCAAGAAAGAAACATGATATAATCTTTCACTCCATACATCTCATCATACCTGTTTCCATTGTCATTCTATCTCTACATCCTATCTGTGGGTCTCACATTTTCCTCACCTTCTCCATCCCATTGCCATGTGTCTACTTCAGTTCTCAGATCAAGAATCTTTAAAACCTCATTCACCTCCACTTCTAATCTAAATGTGAAAAAACCTGTATGACTATGTGGAAGTCACTTATCCTCTATAAGCTCCAATTTTCTTATCTGCAAAACGAGGTGATGATATTATAATGCTGCATAAAGGTAATGCCAGTGAATGTAGTGGTTGTAACATCTGAATAGCAAATGCCTTAGAATAAAGATGGCTGTGCATCTCACATGATCTCACAATACTGGGCATGGTGTTGGCCCCTAATAACCACTGCTGGCTGGTCCTCTGAACAATAAAAAAAATGCTATTTTTAAAAAATAAGTTACGCTCAGTCCCACGACGGCCGGGGCGGGGGCGCTGCTGCTGCTGCGGGGGCTAGGCGGCGGCCCGCACCCTGCACCAGCCTTGCGGAATAAAAACGAGAAGGAGAAAGAATCACCAAAAGCAGGAAAAAGTGGGAAAAGTTCAAAAGAAGGACAAGACGCAGTGGAACCAACGGTATCTGATGCCATAAATTTCCCTCTGGGGAGACGGGGCAAGATGGCGACGGCATAGGTGAACTGGTGAGATTCTCTGAACAGACCAAGACTGCAAACTGCTGAATAGACAGACTGTAAAGCAGAGGGAAAAGTGAACAAAACCAGAAGACCCTCATAAGGAAGAACAGGTCATTGCAGAAGAGAAATAAAAGCAACCCCACCTTCCCTCAAAAACAGAATTGAAGAGGGGGAGGGAAAGGGGTAAAAGGAGAAAAATCTACAGAAATGAAGAAAAACCAAAAGAAGAGTATGGGTCTCTCCCAGACGCCTGGGAGAGCAGACACTGAGAAAATTGACTTTGGAATACAAACAATGAAAAGTCCCCAGAATGAAGGGTCTCAAAATGCAAATGTAGATATCAAAACAATAATGGAGAGATTAAAAAGAATTGAGGAGACACAAGAAGAAACTAGGAAGGAGCAGATATCTGAGATAACAGTAATAAAGAATACTGTGAATGAAATAAATAACAAATTGATAAGCATGGAAAGCAGAATTACCCAAGCAGAAGAAAGAATCTCAGAGCTTGAGGACCAAAATATAGAAATAACCCAACTCTTAAAAACACAGAAAATAAGCTAAAAAAGACAGAACAAA